CCAACCTTCCTTCCAAGGAGTGGCTGGTGGGTTTGAACCGCCAGCCGTCTGGTTAGCAGGCAAGTGTCTTAGCCACTATGCTACCAGAGCTCCCTCTACTTCGTTTAGGACTGTTCTTTTTTCTCTCACTCTATCTCTGTTGTTTTCTCTCCTTGTTCCTTTTGCAGTCCTAGACATAGAAAACCCAAGAGACTCAGCAAGAAAACTACTGGAAATAACTAAGAGATTTAGCATAGTGGCAGGATACAAGATCAACCTACAAAAATCAGTTGGATTCCTCTATACTAGCAAAGAGATTGCTGAAAAGGAAATGAAGAAATCAATACCATTAACAATTGAGACCATAAATAAATAAGTAAATAAAATGCTTGGGAATAAATCTTACCAGGGACACAAAAGACCTGTATAAAGAAAACTACAAAACACTACTTCAAGAAACCATACGAGATCTATAAAAATGGAAGAACATCCCATGCTCGTGGATAGGCAGAATGAACATTGTGAAAATATACATTCTACCCAAAGCAAGATGCATTCAATGCAATCCCAATCCAGATCCCATCAACATTCTTTAACGATATGGAAAAATCAATCACTAATTTTATATGGAAAGGAATGAAACCTCAGATAAACAAAGCACTATTGAAGAAGAACAAAGTAGGAGGTCTCACACATATAATCAAAACCTACTATACAGCCACAGTAGTCAAAATAGTCTGGTATTGGTGCAATGACAGACACATGGCCAGTGAAATAGAATTGAGAACCCAGAAATAGATCCGTCAGCCTATGGTCAGCTGATTTTTGACAAAGGGCTGAAATCCATTAAATGAGGAAGAGATGGTCTCTTTAACAAATGGTATTGGCAAAACTGGATATCCATTTGCAGAAAAATGAAACAAGATCCATACCTCACACCATACACAAAAACTAACTCCAGATGGATCAAAGACTTAAATGTGAAACCTAAAACTATATTTTTCCTCAAGGGAAAAATAGGGGCAAATTTAGGGCCCCTAATTTATGGCATAAATAGACTGTTAAGCATAACCCAAAATGCACAAACAGAAGAAGATACACTAGATGAATGGGACCTTCTAGAAATTAAATTTTTATGTGCTTCAAAAGACGTCTCCAAAAGAGTAAAAAAAGAACCTACAGATTGGGAAAAAATTTTCAGCAATGACATAATCTGACAAGGGACTTATCTCTAAAATTTATTTTTTTTAAAAAAAAACTCCAGCACCTCAACAACAAAAAGACAAATAATCCAATTGAAAAATGGGCAGAAGACATGAATAGACACTTCACCAAAGAGAATATTCAGGCAGCCAACAAACACATGAAGAAATGTTCATGATCATTAGCCATTACAGAGATAGAT